CACTTTCACTGTTTCACCATTTGTGTCAGTACACGTAGTATGGACTGTCACTGTTTCACCATTGGTGTAAGTAGTAAGAACCTTCACTGCTTCACCATTGGTGTAAGTAGTAAGAACCTTCACTGTTTCACCATTTGTGTCAGTACATGTAGTATGAAATGTCTCTGTTTCACCATTGGTGTAAGTAGTAAGAACCTTCACTGCTTCACCATTGGTGTAAGTAGTAAGAACTTTCACTGCTTCACCATTGGTGTAAGTAGTAAGAACCTTCACTGTTTCACCATTGATGTCAGTACATGTAGTATGGACTGTCACCATTTGTTTCACCATTGGTGTAAGTAGTAAGAACCTTCACTGCTTCACCATTGGTGTAAGTAGTAAGAACTTTCACTGTTTCACCATTTGTGTCAGTACATGTAGTATGGACTGTCACCATTTGTTTCACCATGGGTGTAAGTAGTAAGAACCTTCACTGCTTCACCATTGGTGTAAGTAGTAAGAACCTTCACTGCTTCACCATTGGTGTAAGTAGTAAGAACTTTCACTGTTTCACCATTTGTGTCAGTACACGTAGTATGGCATGTCACTGTTTCACCATTGGTGTAAGTAGTAAGAACCTTCACTGCTTCACCATTGGTGTAAGTAGTAAGAACCTTCACTGCTTCACCATTGGTGTAAGTAGTAAGAACTTTCACTGTTTCACCATTTGTGTCAGTACACGTAGTATGGACTGTCACTGTTTCAACATTGGTGTAAGTAGTAAGAACCTTCACTGCTTCACCATTGGTGTAAGTAGTAAGAACTTTCACTTCACTGCTTCACCATTGGTGTAAGTAGTAAGAACCTTCACTGCTTCACCATTGGTGTAAGTAGTAAGAACTTTCACTGTTTCACCATTTGTGTCAGTACACGTAGTATGGACTGTCACTGTTTCACTGTTGGTGTAAGTAGTAAGAACCTTCACTGCTTCACCATTGGTGTAAGTAGTAAGAACCTTCACTGTTTCACCATTTGTGTCAGTACATGTAGTATGAACTGTCTCTGTTTCACCATTGGTGTAAGTAGTAAGAACCTTCACTGCTTCACCATTGGTGCAAGTAGTAAGAACTTTCACTGTTTCACCATTGATGTCAGTACATGTAGTATGGACTGTCACCATTTGTTTCACCATTGGTGTAAGTAGTAAGAACCTTCACTGCTTCACCATTGGTGTAAGTAGTAAGAACTTTCACTGTTTCACCATTTGTGTCAGTACATGTAGTATGGACTGTCACCATTTGTTTCACCATTGGTGTAAGTAGTAAGAACCTTCACTGCTTCACCATTGGTGTAAGTAGTAAGAACCTTCACTGCTTCACCATTGGTGTAAGTAGTAAGAACCTTCACTGTTTCACCATTGGTGTAAGTAGTAAGAACCTTCACTGCTTCACCATTGGTGTAAGTAGTAAGAACCTTCACTGCTTCACCATTGGTGTAAGTAGTAAGAACTTTCACTGTTTCACCATTCGTGTCAGTACATGTAGTATGGACTGTCACTGTTTCACCATTGGTGTCAGTACATGTAGTATGGACTGCCACTGTTTCGCCATTGTTGTAAGTACATGTAGTATGGACTGTCACTGTTTCACCATTGGTGTCAGTACATGTAGTATGGACTGTCACTGTTTCACCATTGTTGTAAGTACATGTAGTATGGACTGTCACTGTTTCACCATTGGTGTCAGTACATGTAGTATGGACTGTCACTGTTTCAACATTGGTGTAAGTACATGTAGTATGGACTGTCACTGAGTGTCAGTCATTTTAATCATAATCAAGAATCAACTTGGTATAAGTACATGTATATGTAGTATGGACTATGACTGTTTCACCATTGGTGTAAGTACATGTAGTATGGACTGTCACTGTTTCACCATTGGTGTCAGTACATGTAATATGGACTGTCACTGTTTCACTATTGGTGTCAGTACATGTAGTATGGACTGTCACTGTTTCACCATTGGTATAAGTACATGTAGTATGGACTGTCACTTTTTCACCATTGGTGTAAGTACATGTAGTATGGACTGTCACTGTTTCACCATTGGTATAAGTACATGTATTATGGACTGTCACTGTTTCAACATTGCTGTAAGTACATGTAGTATGGACTGTCACTGTTTCAACATTGGTGTAAGTACATGTAGTATGGACTGTCACTGTTTCAACATTGGTGTAAGTACATGTAGTATGGACTGTCACTGTTTCACCATTGGTGTAAGTACATGTAGTATGGACTGTCACTGTTTCAACATTGGTGTAAGTACATGTAGTATGGACTGTCACTGTTTCAACATTGGTGTAAGTACATGTAGTATGGACTGTCACTGTTTCAACATTGGTGTAAGTACATGTAGTATGGACTGTCACTGTTTCGCCATTGTTGTAAGTACATGTAGTATGGACTGTCACTGTTTCACCATTGGTGTCAGTACATGTAGTATGGACTGTCACAGTTTCACCATTGTTGTAAGTACATGTAGTATGGACTGTCACTGTTTCAACATTGGTGTAAGTACATGTAGTATGGACTGTCACTGTTTCAACATTGGTGTAAGTACATGTAGTATGGACTGTCACTTTTTCAACATTGGTGTAAGTACATGTA